AACATTTAATAAAGCCGTAGCAAGACTCTAAAACTGATGAAAACACACTGACACATGTTTGATTCACCGTGCACAGACAACAGATGATGAAGACGTTGGCTGCATATTCAAATTCATATTTCCTTGCATAAGACTGCTCTTAAAGGATTCCAAGTATGTGTGGCTGACTGTTCCATTTTTTGTTCATATGCACATCATTACTCTTTAAAAGTGTTATATGTGGATTTGTCAAGTGGCAATAATATTGAGACATATTAAATCAAGACAACTAAGATGGAATAAAAGGAGACGTCAATAAATGTAAAAGCACGAGTGAATGTGGTGAAAGTTTTGACTTGAAACAGACGGGCATTTAAATTTTACAACAGATCAAGTCAGATCTAGCAGGGTATGGACTTGTGGCTTCATGGCTGCATGTTCTCACTCGCTCCATTTGACCTTATTCCTAATTAGAATCAGATATCTGTCTGTAATGAATATAATGTAGCCTAATGGAGTTATAGTAGCAAAAAGATGGCTGGTGTTATATGGAACAGGAAGGTACTGTAAGGCATATGAGCGGTTGTGTGATTGATGTTGTGTGCTCGGTTGGCGATTGGAACGTCAAATCAAATCACCTAGTGGGAGTATTCTGCTTGCATTCTTCTTGTGATACACCAAATGTACGGCAAATGGTGTATGCATCCATTTGGTGAAAACTAAAGGTGTCTTCCATTTCTTAGTTTTCTGCTTTTTTCACAAAATCTCCTACTGTTCTTTCTAGCAGTGCTTTATTTCTTCTTTTTTTTCACTCTCCCTTGCTTTTTTCAGCTTTTCTTAGGCTGAGTCTCAACTCTTCAGGGATTCACACAGAGAAATCAATTTTGCTTGGCCTCTTTGCCTTTGGAAGGGAACATAGGCATATATAAATATTCACATGCGGCTATTTCAGATCCTCTGCTTTGGGACTGAACTAGTGGATGAGCTGTTCTTCTGTTTGATCATGAAGCCTGTATACATGTGTCTCTATGGATGATTTCTCTCTTTCCCTATGCACCCCTCTTTCTGCAATGCTTTCCTTACTACCTTGTTTTATCCCTTAATTCCTTCTCTCTTTAACATCTCACATTCTTCTGGTTGTCCTTAACATCATCTTATATTTTGATATCTTGTACCTCCTATTACCTTGCCTTCTCGACTTCTTTTCTTCAGCTATATGGCCTTCACCCCTCTTTCTCCTGTCATTTATCATGAGTTGTTCCCTTCCTTTGATCTCTTCCCTCAACTTTGCCCTTTATTTTTCCTTCACGTCTCACTTATTGTCTTACCTTTGACCTTAACTTTTTCTTCATAACCTTCACTTTCCTATTTTTCCGCTTAACTTCTTTCTTCATTTTCTGCCATCTCATTCCCTTTATTACTCCATTCGTTCATCCTTCTTTTTCCTTAAAGATGTGATATTATGCTCATTTTCAGTTTCAAAATCTTATTTAGGGGTTGTACCAGAACAGGTTTACATGGTTTCATTTTCAAAAAAGACGATATTTTAGTCATACTGCACATTGCCGCAGCTCCTCTTTTCACCCTGTGTGTTGAACGCTTTGTTTTAGCTACAGAGTGAGGCATCTTACACATGCACAGTTCCTAGGTAAGGACTACTAGCCAATCAGAAGCAGAGAAGAGCAGGTCATGAGAAGCCGGTAAACCATAGACTGTATAAAAGTAGAGGACGTAGTCATCCTGACATCTCCCGTTGGTTTGTGGACTGCCGTTTTGATAGGGAGCCGTCATGTAGAGTTTTTGCAACCAGCGGCACCGGGCGTGGCCATATTTGGACGAAACATTGGACCTAATGGACGTGTGTGGAGCTAGCTAGCTTTCTTAGTTAGGTGCATCTGTAATTCACGTTAACTATCATTTTAACAGGGCTGACAATTTTGTCTAGCAAACAACAGGCTTAAAACTAAATGTACTCACCAGAGAAAGTGAACAGCCAACTTCTAATAAGCTTTTTCAACGACGCTGGTTAAATTTACCCAGTGGCGTGGGTACGAGTCACTCTAGCCTGATTGCTCATAAGCTCATTATGAAAGTGTTTACTCAGGTAATAAATCAGCTGAGAAGTAGGGTCATTTTACCAGTCGCCCCCTGCTGGCAGTTCGATAGAATGCAGGTTTAAGGGACTTCCACGTTCACATCAGATCGCTGACCGGAAGCTTCCCTCTTGTGGTAAATACGACTTCACTTCAGCTGTATATGTTGCTGGACCAGCTTAGCAACATGGACTGCAGCAAGAGTTTCAGATTGGTGTTTTTGAGGGGGTGTCGGACTAGTCACTAGGTAAGCATTATGCAGCACACTTTGCTGTGATGTCACAGAGAACAAAACTCAATAAAGGAGATAGAATACATACATATATATACAGTGAGGAAAATAAGTATTTGAACACCCTGCTATTTTGCAAGTTCTCCCACTTAGAAATCATGGAGGGGTCTGAAATTGTCATCGTAGGTGCATGTCCACTGTGAGAGACATAAATAGTTGAAAAATCATACATTGTGATTTCTGGATATTTTTTTTTTAGATTATTTGTATGATACAGCTGCAAATAAGTATTTGAACACCTATCTATCAGCTAGAATTCTGACTCTCAAAAACCTCTTAGTCTGCCTTCAAAATGTCCACCTCCACTCCATTTATTATCCTAAATTAGATGCATCTGTTTGAGGTCGTTAGCTGCATAAAGACACCTGTCCACCCCATACAATCAGTAAGAATCCAACTACTAACATGGCCAAGACCAAAGAGCTGTCCAAAGACACTAGAGACAAAATTGTACACCTCCACAAGGCTGGAAAGGGCTACGGGGAAATTGCCAAGCAGCTTGGTGAAAAAAGGTCCACTGTTGGAGCAATCATTAGAAAATGGAAGAAGCTAAACATGACTGTCAATCTCCCTCGGACTGGGGCTCCATGCAAGATCTCACCTCGTGGGGTCTCAATGATCATAAGAAAGGTGAGAAATCAGCCCAGAACTACACGGGAGGAGCTGGTCAATGACCTGAAAACAGCTGGGACCACCGTTTCCAAGGTTACTGTTGGTAATACACTAAGACGTCATGGTTTGAAATCATGCATGGCACGGAAGGTTCCCTTGCTTAAACCAGCACATGTCAAGGCCCGTCTTAAGTTTGCCAATAACCATTTGGATGATCCAGAGGAGTCATGGGAGAAAGTCATGTGGTCAGATGAGACCAAAATAGAACTTTTTGGTCATAATTCCACTAACCGTGTTTGGAGGAAGAAGAATGATGAGTACCATCCCAAGAACACCATCCCTACTGTGAAGCATGGGGGTGGTAGCATCATGCTTTGGGGGTGTTTTTCTGCACATGGGACAGGGCGACTGCACTGTATTAAGGAGAGGATGACCGGGGCCATGTATTGCGAGATTTTGGGGAACAACCTCCTTCCCTCAGTTAGAGCATTGAAGATGGGTCGAGGCTGGGTCTTCCAACATGACAATGACCCGAAGCACACAGCCAGGATAACCAAGGAGTGGCTCTGTAAGAAGCATATCAAGGTTCTGGCGTGGCCTAGCCAGTCTCCAGACCTAAACCCAATAGAGAATCTTTGGAGGGAGCTCAAACTCCGTGTTTCTCAGCGACAGCCCAGAAACCTGACTGATCTAGAGAAGATCTGTGTGGACCAAAATCCCTCCTGCAGTGTGTGCAAACCTGGTGAAAAACTACAAGAAACGTTTGACCTCTGTAATTGCAAACAAAGGCTACTGTACCAAATATTAACATTGATTTTCTCAGGTGTTCAAATACTTATTTGCGGCTGTATCATACAAATAAATAGTTAAAAAATCATACATTGTGATTTCTGGATATTTTCTTTTTAGATTATGTCTCTCACAGTGGACATGCACCTACGATGACAATTTCAGACCCCGCCATGATTTCTAAGTGGGAGAACTTGCAAAATAGCAGGGTGTTCAAATACTTATTTTCCTCACTGTGTGTGTGTGTGTGTGTGTGTGTGTGTATATGTGTGTATATATATATATATATATATATATATAGGCTTCGCTTGGGACGCATACAACGTGATTGACCGAACACAACTTGGAGCTGATGCTGCAGCCACCTATATTATGCTCACTTCCTCTCTACTGGCTGCTGGTCTGTTTGGTTCTGATAACTCCTTCATGGACATTTCTTTCGCAGATATCTTCCCCCCTCTGCCTTTAAATCTTTGCGCTTTACTCATTTTCTCCCCCCCCCCCTCCCAATTGTCAGCTTTGTTTTACAAACAGAGCAGTGATATTGTCTCTCAGAGGCACACCTCTTCCCCTGCCCTAGCCGGCTGTCAGGCTGGATCTGCCATGACACTGGGCATACTTAGCACACCGGTGAACATGCACACATATAGTACACAAACACACACAGACATGGGACAGTTGCAACCACGTGCAAACACGCAGGCATATATATGAACACTGCGCAAACAATCAAAGTAGACGTAGCACATGCCAGCGCTCTTTTTGACCTCGCCTTGACCTGACACATGACACCTCTCTTGCACCCCTAGAGCTAATATAGCTTGACAAGTGTGTGTTTTTGTGAGTTTGTGTGTGTGCGCAGGAGTGCTTACAGTCATTCTGATGCATATTTTATATGAGGCTGCAGAGTGTATGAGTGAAAGTAGGACATGAAGGAGGCCAAAATATACCCTGGTTAAATGTGTGTGTGTGTGTGTGTGTGTGTGTGTGTGTGTGTGTGTGTTTCTCTCCCAGCAGTAAATGAATGTGTGTACTTATTCCATTACCATTTTTTTTTTTTACTTTTTAACCATTTTTCTTTTCTTTTATTGCCTTATCATTCAGCCTCAGGACTCATTTTGGAGGTCTGTCTATTAGCCACACACATACACATGCACACGCGCACAGACAGATGTGCATATGCACTAACAAAAAGGGAGGCAAACAAACACAGACCACCTCAGCCATTTGAGGACACTTTCTGTTTAATGTTATTTATAAACAGCTTTTGAGTCTGGCATTGTTTGATAACCACATACAAAACATTTGGGTTGCACAAAGGAAGAGAGGAGAGGAAAAGAATAAGAGAGATAGAGGAGGGGAAGGAGGGAGCAATGAGGGTGGAAGAGAAAGGAGCAGAGAAGTTGGGGAGGGAGGGAAGAGAATAAGCAGACAGAGAGGGAGGGAGAGACAGAGGGATGAGGAGGATATTGAAGAATAGAGGAGGAGCAAGAGGGGACAGTGCGGTGTACCGTTTATCTTGAATGACTCAGCAAAACAAAAAGACAGAAGTGAAATAATGATAATAATCATAGTAAATAAAAAATATAGCTCCAGCCCGTAGCTCCCTGTTTATTTTTTTCAGGGAACTACCGAGACACAATGAGAGTTTCTCTTTGATCATCTTTTCTTTTTTTCTCTCTTTCTTTTTTGTTTTTTTTTTACAAAATAATCATCCTCACAGGAATAAACAAGACACAATTTACATCACCTCTGGGTTCACAGCAGCACAAACAAGTTCACCAGTAGGGGTCTCTAATCCTACATGTCGGGAGGACGACACCAGTGACAGGCTCTGTTCGTCCCCAACATTTAGATAGATAGACACAAAAAGTTGGGGCTCCACAGGAAACACACACAAGCAGGGTACAGATGTGACCCCTGCTCTCGGATTCCCATCCAGAACTCGCATTTTCAGGTTGCCAGCCAACCAAACAAATCATTTTCTTGTGCTTTTTTTGTCAGCATATCGTGATTTTAGCTTTTTAGCTAGGCCATCCTTTGCATACAAGGGTAGCTCATTTTAAAAGAAAAATTCATAACTGTGCAATGCTATAAGAAATAAAGAGACTTTTAGCATTACTGGCTAGTGAAAGTACCCGGATGGTCCGTGTGTAACTGTACAGGCTTCACCTATTGTAATCGAGCACTTGAGACCTTGGGTGAAATAGTTCAGGTCTTGGGGCAAAATCTAGACAGCATTTGTGGTGCTGTGCTCTAGGATTTGAAGCCCTGGACTGACAGGGGTTAGTGGTTTGCAGTGGGATCGGAAGGCTGTGAAGGTGATCGGGCTTTATTAGGGGGGTGTGTGTGCTTGAACCGCTCCAGTTCATACAGGGCACTGTGTCCCATAGTCCTCTCTGTCCTTGTTATTTCCTAAAGAAGAATCCCGAGCCTCAGAAAGGGCTCTTCTCGGACATAGCAGCATTAATATCCAACTCTCCAATCAGGGCTTGTAGATTGTTAAGTCCATCTGTTTCGGAGCACACTAAACACCCCAGAGAGGACAAAGGAAAAAATTCAGAAGAAGTCACTTTGCCCTGTGATGATCATCACAGATTCTGAACTGCATTTATTTTCCAGTTTCAGCAATTGCAGGAGATATATTGTCGAGCTGTCAGTACTCCTCCCTGATGGTGGGGCATTTCCAGCATTTGAAACCCTCCGTCTGATTATTTGGATTGAATCATCTCTGTTTGAAGGAAATTGTTTTCCCCGTTAGCCTCCACAGCATTAAAGAAGAAAGTGCATAACAGTTTATGGGAGTCTGAAGTTTTGTGAGCCAGGCTGGCTCTGGCCTCAGCTTTTCCTTGGCCTACATGAGTTGACCTTTCAGGCTCTTTGAGGCCTCTATTTTGTAGCCAGCGAGGTCAAAGAGTGAATAAAACCACCCCCGTACCTCCATGGTTTGTCCTCATTGGCCACTGGCTCTCAATAGGCACGCTTGCTATCATATTGTCGTTCTACCCGCATGGCTTTAGTGTTTTGTTTTGTTTTTCAGTTGAAACGCACTCACACAAACAGTAACACATAAACTCGTTCGCTCACTCTCTCATTTACACTGCCTGTGACTGGTTGGCTCTTATGATGATAGGTTAGTTCTGAATGGCTTTTAAAGTTGATGGGTTGCAATGGCAAGGACAACAGACACCTTTTAAAAGGACTAGTTTGAATAATTGTCCGTTATATAGATGTGTCACAACTCCAGTGGTGTTTTTCAGAGTTTAGACTAAAAGCCAAGGATACAGCTGTGCATTTTAGTAGGTTCACCTTACTGCGAGACATGTAAGTAAAACCACTTCATTAGTAATAAATAATTATTATAGTTATTACTACTAAAACGATGATCATTTTACTGCTACTTCTTTCTGCAGTATTTTCTTTCTGGATCTTAAGTTATTGTTGAGTGTGTTGAGTGACAGTTATGAATGACTGTGTCTTTGTCTCAGCATGAGTGACAGATGGAGGGCGCGCTGAGAGAGCACTATTGTGTCAAGAGGGCTAAACATAGGGACTGTTTTGATCCTTACTGTGTGTTCTTCTCACTATTATTTGAATAAGGGATTGGCTTGTTATTTTATGTGGCTGTAAAGTTTTTACAAGTACATTTCAGTGAAGCAAGTGATGCCACAGAGACAAATGTATAGTTTTCCTGTTGTTTCCCTGGGTGACATCATCAAAGCAATGGGCTAAATTGTTTTCCCTGACTTCCATGTTTTGATTATGACTCATGAAGATGCCTGCCTTAATACCGCAGGGCTACTTTGACAGTAGATATTTGCAAATGTTCTTTTGTACACGGTCATGTACACGCACAGTTATGCACACATGTCTCATTAAAAGAGCCAGGGCAGGGTGGTACAGGAGAATGAATCATAAGGTTGCATTCCCAGCAAAAAGTATCCATACCCTGTCTCAGCGTAAGATCACGGAAATGAGTGACAGCAGTAGAGCTGATGGTAAACAGAAAATATAATCTGCAAGGTATGATCCTGCTTTATTATTAGCTCTCTGGACCCCACTTGGTGGGCCGACAGAAGTTCTGGGGATGCACTTGTTCTTCCTCCTTGCAGTTGCAGACAGGTCATATTTGCCTTCATCTGGATTATAGTCTTTCTCACCCCCCTCCCGTAGTACCTGCACCTCATTGAGCCCCCCTTTTGCCTTGCGGCCCCGGCGGGTACAGTTTCTGCGCCCTCCCTTAGGTGGCCGCGGCAGGGGTGATGGTGAAGGCAAGCTGTACTGGTCCCCGTGGGGCAAGTACGGCCGCTGATGGTGGTTGTGATGGTTTCTGTGACGATTCAGGTGGTTCAAAGACTCTCCATGCTCCATCTCCCCACCTGGGGCCCCATGTGCATGACCCTCGCCTGACAAGCAACTGGGCAGCTCCTCTTTCTTCAGTGCCTTCAGGTCCTTCCCCGCCAGCTCTGGTGGTGAAACGCACATCAGAGAGGAGGTGGAGCCTCGGAACCTCCGCAGCCAATCCCAAAGTGACAGGGCCTTGCAGTCACACTCCCAGGGGTTGTCGTTAAGTCGTAGGTATTCCAGGGCTGGCAGTAGCGTCAAGCTGGCACCAGACAGCTCAGTCAGGGAGTTATTAAACAAGTACAAGGTGGTGAGGCGCCGCAGGTCATGGAAAGCCTGGCGGTCAACCCACTGGATTCGGTTCTGGTGGAGAAGCAGACGGTCTAAGACTCCCAGACCACGGAAAGTGTTCTGGCGAAGGCTCCACAGTCGATTGCCATGCAGGAAGAGATGACTGAGGTTCAGTAGGTCGATGAACAGATCATCCTCCAGAAACTCTAATTGGTTGTCCTGCCAGGATGTAAGGGAAGGAGGAAAGGTAAAAACAGAGGTGTACAATGAAGTGCAGTGCATGAGTAATTTTTCATGAATTCACTGTATTATGATTTATTATTATGGGAAAAACAATCTTATCACTATTGTAACAGTGATTTTTGCAATACTAAATCATTGTATTGCTTTCAGTTTAAAGAGAAACCAATATTTTACAACACAGAGAATTTGTTTGTCTTATTCCAAAGAATACACAGGTTGGGTTGTCAGTGATCTGTGCAGCATCCAGAGGGCAGTAGCTAGAACAAATGGTGAGCTGTGTAAAAGGGGGTCAGAAATGATATTCTCTGCCCTTTGAGTGGTACCTTTTGGAGGTAGAGGATTCAGTTATAGGAAGCGGACCAATGGTCGTGGGAGATCTATTCACAACTAGCTGTGGATTTCTGTACCTTTGACAAACTGTCGTAGATGATGTCATGCCTGCAATCTTTACCACACTCACTCAGTGTCAACATCAATTTATTTTCCAATCATCGACATGGATAGGCAATCCTTTCCATATAGCAGAATTTCCTCATTCATGTAAAACATTCATGTAATTAATGAAATCATATATTCCATCCTGGATTTCAATCCCTGTACTGTTTTCCACAGAAGCCATACTGTAGTTTATTATAGTGTGAGAGCTGCTGTGTAGTATTTTCCCTGCCTTTAGGATAACAGCTTGCATTTGATCAGCATCCAATTCATAGGTAGTAAGTGCTGAACCAGGGTGATGGACAGATTACACTATAATGCGACTGTGGCTGCAGATGCAAATACAGAAAAGATAAAAGCAGGCTGTACCTGTAGGTAGAGATACTGAAGATTATGAAGGCCTGCAAATATCCCTGGAGGCAGGCTGATCAGGCCACAGTGGTAGAGATGCAGGGCATGTAGCCTACCCAAACCCTGGAAGGTGTCTGAAGCAATGGCATTCAGGTGCCGGTTGTCCCCAAGGTCGAGCTCCTCCAGGCGGTCAAAACCGTGGAAGGTGGACGGCTGTATGTAGGAGATGTTGTTGGAGTAAAGCCACAACATGGTGGTGGTGGGCGAGAAGTGGCCCCGAAGCAGCCGCTGGATCTTGTTGTTCTGCAGGAAGACGCGCTCGCTCTGGGCGGGGATGCCTTCAGGCACGGCATGGAAGTTGTGGTCCTGGCAGGAGACGGTGCTAGGTGAAGTGTAGCAGATGCAGTGGCGAGGGCAGGGCAGAGAGAGATCCAGGCCGCACAGCACCAAGAGTAACTCCACCCCACCATAACCTGAGGGAGGAGAGGAGAGGAGAGGAGAGGAGAGGAGAGGAGAGGAGAGGAGAATGGAAATGAAACAAAGACACAAAGAGATGGAGGGGAAAGAGAGCGTGAGAGAAAGACAAGCTGAATTAATTGAATGCATCAGCAGAGCTCCTGTTATCAGACACATCTTAAATGAAAAACTCATTGCTCTCAGTTTACAAGGACAACAATGGGCACGGTTCAGTGCAGACATATTAGAATGTTGACACAAATCTCTTCCCAACACACACACGTACACACACAAACATTCATGCATTGTTTCATGAGTCCATTCTCCTCACATATTTTTTCAATCATTCCCAAACTGTTTACCCTTAACGTTAACCTTGCCTACTTAAACGGTTTCAAAACCCAAATCTAGACTCGGGGGAGCATTTTTGCAAAAACCCTAAATCCTGAATACCAAGAGACCCCTCACCACCACGCACAGACACATAAAAACTCTTCTCAGTTTTACAGTAGTGGAGCAGTGAGTGTGTGGTCTTGTCTTTTTTATTGTGCTGTAGTATGACTGTCACAGAGGTACGCACATTTTTATTTGTGTTCCTTGGACCAATCTTGATGACATGGCATACACACAGAGCATCGTATCAAGCACCGCACAGTGTTACTTCCTTTGGTTATCCTTTAAAGGCGACAGAAAAATCGATGCTTCTCCTGCTTACAAGTGAACACGCGCCACACCTGTAATACATTCCCACAATAAGGGAAACCGAGAAAGAGAGGGATAGAGGGAGAGAGAGAGGAGGTGGAGGATGAAGCGGAAATCATCTGCAGCCTGACTGTGAAGTGGATATTACTTTTTGTTTTCCGATTCTCATTCTCAATTTATGTGATGTTCATTCTTGCGCTGACGTGTGTGTGCGTGTTTGTGTCAGTGGTAGACGGACAGATGTGACGGTCAGATGTCAGGTTAACCAGGACACTGCTGCTGTGTTAAGAACAACATGTTCTGAAATGTCAGGACAGGATAGAGCAGCTTTTGGTACACATATGTCTGCATTGCTCTGTACACATCTGTAACCATGTCCGCACTGGCACCATAATGTGTTTGTGCGTGTTTTTCTTTATGTCTTTCTATATCTGTTCCATTTTATCTTAAACCTATTGTGAGAGCAGAGTCTGTTCTATTTGCAGGCATGCAAATTCCTCACCTTTCGGAAAATATTTTGGTGGGGGCAACCAATCGTCACTCCTAATCCTTCAACCCAACAACCAATCAGAGGCAGCGTAGGGTGGGTCTTTTTTCTAGTCTGCTACACTGCAGAGTCCGACAGCTGGACTCAATGAACGAACGAAAGAATGAATGAACGAACTGTCCGTCGGACAGCAAGTCTGATGTAAGCTAGCTTACAATGTTCCTGTCAGATACAGTAATGTTGCCCACTTTTATTAACCCGTAATGTTAGCTAAGCTAATTGCTCAGAGCAGTGGCAGCAACCTGGATACAATGTAGGCTAACGTCAACACAATAAAACATGTCGGCATCTGTGTTATTTACACTGGGAAGATGTCCCCATTACTTTTTGAAAGCATTTGTTAAAAATGCTTTGAAAAATTGCTTGCAACAAAAAATGGCAAAGAACCAATGAAAGTGCTCTGACCCCCCAACTCATGTTCAGCTTTGATGATTTCTATTAAATACTGTTAAATTATCATCACATTTCGTTCTTGTGACACCAGTATGGTGCATTGCTACATCTCGTGAGCTAAGTGTATCTTCACACCCCTAATCTGAGCCCTTATGTCCACACTACTTTTCAACACAAAGTGACGCCCTTGTGTGTCAGTATCTTTCTCTTGTTGCAGTAGACAAATGCACGTTATCTACACAACATGTAAGCTTAAAACAGACCCCTCTTACACTGTCTCTGCGTTTCTCTGCTGTCTTACCTTTTTTTACCCCTGATCAGTTTGCATGCCTGTATTTGACAAGGCTGACCTTTTTGCCAAAAAAAGGAAAAATACACACACATACATACATACCAGCTGTTGTCACGGCAGCCCATCATCTGTCCTGTTGTTCCAACAACAAATCAACACCGTGCAATCCTCTATAATGCTGTGTGAATTACAAAAACAGTCAGACTTTCTCTGTATTGATGACGTGTGATTAAAACAATTTGTATTACTTATTGGAGACATTATTTACAACCTTCTGTTAGTCCATATCAGACTTAAGTTTATGTGTGAGGAATCAGTATTCATGATATCCAGCCATGCTAGCGGCTGTATCATATTAGGTGAAATATTAAAATTTGCAGCATTACATCAAACGTAAATCAAATGGAGCATCATTTTATACACATTTCCATTCAGCGTGATGAGATCTTTTGGTTTAAACAGTTTGGTCATGTGACATCTGCTCGTACTGACAGACCCACCATTGGGTCAATTCACATGTATTATTGATGCTAATGCAGTAAAGAACTCTCCAGCATGTGCAACCCTCTCCCTCCCTCGTCTCCCTTTTTCTCTCTCTTCCGCACACCTCTTCCTTTCACTCGCTTGCCTGCCTATAGGTTTGATTGGTCAAATGTTATTGTAATAAGCTGTAACATTCAATCCCTCAGGGCATCAAAGGGATTTTTATCTCTTTGTGTTGCCCTTTGCTTCATGCCTGTCTGCCTCCTTTCTCCAGAACGTGAATGCTTCCCTTCCTCCACAGCGTTATCTTCATGCGCTGCTCTGCCCCGCCTGCTGTGTCTGTTAATTAGGTATAAAGCTGCTTTGTGATACTTGTCTATGTGAGTGTGTAAGAATGTGAACTGTATATGCATGTCTATAGGCGTGTGAAACTTTTTGTCCTTTTGTCTTTGTTAACTGAGTTGTATTTTCTTGTCTTAAAAAGCAGCTTGTCTTAACCGTTTGCATAAAGATTTGTTAGATGCTATGAGCTTTAGAATTATAAAGAGTAACATTTAGCTCTTTGCTGTATATCTTAAGGTCTTCGTGTCTTGGAAAAGTACGCTCTACATGCGACTGGAAAATGTTTCCTAACTGAGATTTAAGCAGGGCCACAATTTTCTTTGTTTAAGCCTCCCAAACTGCATCACCAATGACAGCTGTGATTTCTCAGCTGTTAGTGTAAATTTGCAAAGTTAAATTCACCAACGGGGTGCTCCCACTGGTCCCATTAATTTATTTTTTACATTAAAATTGTCTTCAATACAAGTCTGCTTGACATGTGCTTATGATAGCGCTTCCAGCATTAGTTTGCATTTCCAATTGCTTCTGTTGCCTTCTGTTTACCCCTGCAGTCTTTATTTTTTTTTCTTTTTGTATTTTCATCATCATCGCTTTATATCTGGCTTCCCTCTTTCTCCCCTTTGCCTCTTTTATTCTTTCCAATTATATCTTCCATCTTTCTGCTATTCATTGTGTAGATGTTTGTTTGAAGAAATGAATGTCCCTAGCTCTGCGTGTATATATTTGAGCCCATGTGAGGTGTTCACTGGGATACATCATTAAAGTTTACAGAGTGAGAGGTGGAAGTGGTGATATTAGATAGAAAAGCTACTGAGTGCCATATGGCTTTGACCGTGGGGGCAGCAAATCTCCCACCAGCATCCAGTTGTTCAAACATTTTATTTATTTATCATTTGCATGGTAAAACATTGAATTCTCTGTATTTACTTATAGTGTTAGTAAGGGGGCAAAAGAGAAAAAAAAGGTGTGTGGTTCAAGATTTTAATAGTATAGTACAAGCAGAACAACCTACTATGTTGTTATCTAAATGAACTGAGCTGTTCTCAGCACCAGTGAGGAAAAATCTCCAATCCTGCAACGAATTCTTGATACCTTGTTTTCAAATGTTAAAAACATGTTTGCAAACATCTTTACTCCAAGTCAGTGCATTGGAGTTACTGCCGTTGATGTTAGACTGCCTTCAGCCCCATAGCACTCCCGCAGCCTGGAATACATAAATAGACAACTAATTGCAAATCAGCAATTAGCCGAGGCATCAAGATGGCATTATGCCAAGCCTCAAACCTGTAACAACTCCCCCAGTAAGGAGCGTGGAGGTACATAAAAATCTGTTTCACCAGTAATTCTTCATAACGCATTTCCCGATATACTGCAGGTATAGGAAAATGAATCAGGGTGAGTTTCCATTAAAGTGATTCATGCCTGGTGTGGTGAAGAGGTGTTTAAAGCTCATTTGATACCCAACACCTTCTTAAGATTTAAACCATTTTTTGAACCAGGTGCTCTGTTGAACAAAGACAGAGAGCAGTGTGTGGGTTGCGGCTTAATTGTCTCATGTTTGCTTTTGCTAAAATCTTTTGCAAATTTGACAGCTTGACCATGGGAAAAGCGAAAAAGGGAGCAATCAAAGAAAATAAACATTTGCTCCACTCCTCAAACATGTATAAAATACCTGAACAATGAAGCTAGACTATTACAGCTTACTACATTCATACACATACGTACACACACACACACACACACACACACGCGCGCACATACATACATACATACATACATACTTACAGTATGTGGACACATTTACACTCACACAGTATTTCATGGGCTTTGATTTTCCATGATGGAGCACCCCTGTAGCTCAGAGGTTAAGATGGGGACTGATGAGTCCAGCTATGGTTCTTTGTTGAATCTCTTTTCCCCTCATTTCTGTTTCCCCACTGTATGTAATAAAGGCTTAAAATGCCCCCAAAATAATTAATACTAAAATAATCTGCTGCTACAGTATAACACTTTCCACTCTTTTGGAAAAGCTTCTCACAAGATTTTTGCACCTGGCAGCAGGGATTTGCATTAGTGAGATCAGACACTGATGCTGAGTGATAACACCTGACTTACAGTCAGCATTCCAGTTAATACCAAAGGTGTCGGGTCGGGTTGAGGTCTGGGCCTGGCTTTTCTGAAACAGAAAAGCATCTTCGCCATTGCCTTGAGGTGCGGGACCCGTAAACAATGTTTATTTTTAGGAAACGTCTGATGAG